TTTCGTTGTGTATATGTACCACATCTTCTTTATCCATTCATCTACTGATGGACACTTAGGTTGTTTCCATTTCTTGGCTATTGTAAATAGTGCTGTGATAAACATAGGGGTGCGTCTGTCTTTTTCAAACTGGGCTGCTGTATTCTTAGGGTAAATTCCTAGAAGTGGAATTCCTGGGCCAAATGGTATTTCTTTTTGAGTTTTTTAGGAACCTCCATACTGCTTTCCACAATGGTTGAACTAATTTACATTCCCACCAGCAGTGTAGGAGGGTTCCCTTTTCTCCGCAACCTCGCCAACATTTGTTGTTGTTTGTCTTTTGGATGGTGGCGATCCTTACTGGTGTTAGGTGATATCTCACTGTAGTTATAATTTGCATTTCTCTGATAATTAGCAATGTGGAGCATCTTTTCATGTGTCTATTGGCCATCTGAATTTCTTCTTTGGAGAACTGTCTGTTCAGCTCCTCTGCCCATTTTTTAATTGGCTTATTTGCTTTTTTGTTTGTTGAGGTATATGAACTCTTTATATATTTTGGATGTCAACCCTTTATCAGATCTGTCATTTATGAATATATTCTGCCATACTGTAGGATGCCTTTTTGTTCTACTGATGGTGTCCTTTGCTGTACAGAAGCTTTTTTGTTTGATATAGTCCCACTTGTTCATTTTTGCTTTTGTTTCCCTTGCCTGGGGAGATATGTTCATGAAGAAGTCACTCATGTTTATGTCCAAGAGATTTTTGCCTATGTGTTTTCTAAGAGTTTTATAGTTTCATAACTTATATTCAGGTCTTTGACCCATTTCAAATTTACTTTTGTGAGTTTGGTGGTTTTTTAATTTACAAAACTAAACATGCAACCCAGCACAACTTAGTAATTACACTCCTGGGCATTTATCCCAGAGAAGCTGAAATTATGTTCACACAAATGCCTGAAAAAGCATAGATCTAATAATAACATAATTAGATGATAAGATCTAATAACATTATCCAGAATGAGGTAGGAAGATGAAAGACTTGCAAAATATAAGTAAGACATATGGAGATTAGAATCCGAAGGTACAACATATGTCTAATGGAAATTCAACAGGACAGGACAGGAACAAAAACTTGTGAAAATAGTTAAAAGTTTTGCATGATTGATGAAAGATATGAATACTTTAAGAAACACAAATCCCCTTCAAGAAATTTTTTAAAAGCCTAGATCTAGCTGCATTGTAGTGAAATGGCAAAATGCCTGGCAAAGAGAAAAACTGTAAAATAACTGCTGATTCATTACTGTAGCTCTGATTTCCTTCCTATTAAAAACTGGACTCCAAATATACTCTAGTTTAACAAAATGAAGTAGATACAATGGCTGAATCAAAAAGGTTTTATATGAAAAATTCAAAACTTATAAATCATATAGGAACTAAAAAAAACCCCTTATTTCTCAGATCCAATATTGTTGTGTTTTTAATAACTGCAACACAGCAGAAGCCTGGATATTTAATTCTAATATAATTCAAATACCTCTAAAGATTATGGTCTGACAAGAGAGAGTAATCCACTTGTTAATATATCCCTAGCATCATAACATGGAAACCACTAAGGCAGGAGAAGGCATGAAACTAACAATCTGCCATTTTTGTTCTCTACTAATAAGTGGATTATAACATAGTGGATCAATAAATATATCAAAGACATAAATATTTGATCAGTAATTATCCCTGCCAATCCCTCCATCTTGAAGAGAAATCTCTCTTCAGAATATTTTTCATGAAGGGCTATTGCACATTCTAGGTCTTCCAAGAAGGGTGATTATAGTCTGCTTCCTCCAGGGGTCCGGTAAGAAATCAGTATCTCCTTCCCTGTCTGACCGAAAGCCTAATGGGCTATTATCCTTTGGCAGAGTATCCTGAGCTCTAGGGGAAAAAGAATGCTTGGGAGTTGGTACGAAAAGAGAAAAATGACCCCACACTATATTCTCCAATGATGAGTAGACTAGGTTCCACAGAGAAGCTAAAGGTCTCCCAACTTTCTCACCTGAAGGGGTTTCAATAGTGTTTTCTATTAAACTTCACATAGAACAATAGAAAGAGACTTCACTTCTTTTGTGCCAATAATTCTTTTGACTTTTCCAGGTCAGACATCAGTTCCCAGGTAAAATGACTAGAAAATCACCTGGAACTGCTTTGAAATCTTAAATTCAGTCATTCCTGTTCTTCCAGATCCCTTGCTCAAGTGAATCCTTTCATACCGTTCTTGTTTCTCTTCAGGGTCTCAGTCCCTTGACCTCTCTCCTCTCTGCCTACTAGCCCTCTTCTCTCTTCACTTAGATGGCAACCAATTTCAATATTAACCACTCTCTTTCAAATATTCTCAACTCAATGATCTCTACTCAGAAAATTCAATGAGATAATGTAGATAAATCCCTGGCTGAAGTAAGTGCTCAACAAATGGTACCAACACTACTAACCATCACTACTACAACATACGTAACATCCACTTGCTCCTTTGTCATTCTGTTATATCATACATACAATCCTGGGCTGCTGAACATTATTGGAGAAAATCACTAAATTTTGCAGATGTTAGGTAATTCATGCTTCCAGCCTTACCTGCTGAGCAGTTCTAATGGTCCTCTAATCAGTTTCCTGAATTTTGAGACTATTCTAAACCTTCTCCAATCTCCTTAAATCTACAAACTACATCTGCCCATCATTCTCATTCTCTTGATTCATGAGAAGAAAAATAAACCATCACAAAGAACTTCTCCAATTACCAGCCATCAAATCTGCCAACCTTTCTTCCTTTGCACCTATCCTCCCCTGCTTTCGTCTTCAGACAAAGAAAGCACTGTTCTAGCTTACTGCTGAGGGCCAGTTCTTGCATTGTCTCCCACTCTGGGTCATCCTCACCCAACTCATCTTCAACCTCTCTCTACTTCTCTTCAGTATTTAAGACAGCCCACCTTCAAAAATTCCTCTTGTTATTCCAACTACCTTCTTGTCTCTCTCCTGTTCTTCCCACCCAAACTTTTAAAAAAGATTATCCACTTTTGCTACCTCTTTTTACCTCCCATTTGTCCTTCATAATTGTAATTTGGTTTCCATCCTTTATACCAAGGAGTGTTCTTATCTGCCTCATCAATGACTCCAATAAACCCTTCTTAGGTCTCATTTCATTTAACCTGTTAACCACCTTTTGTACGTTGACCACTTCTTCCATCTGAAACACTTTGCTTATAGGAATGCCCACTTACCTAGAACTCCTACCTCTCTGACTGCTTCTTGTGAGTATTCTTTGTGGTGTCTCTGTTCTCCCTTCAATATGGGGTCCCTCAGAGATTGGTCAAGGGCCCTATCCTTTCCATACTGCTAAGCTAATTAAACAAGGCCATTAGGTGGCTCTAATGCCTTGGCTGCCTCCTGAAGCAAAACAAAATCTGAGTGTGAAAAAAGGTTAAAACTTTAAATGTTAAACAACCAGTCGCAAACAGCCAACTGGGCTTTAAGTTATAGCCAATCAAACAATCCTGTCTTTACTTTTCACTGTCTTTCCCTGGCTCCTGTTGGGGGTCCTAACTACTTCTGGCTTGCTGGTACCCAATTCTAATGGATTTTTTTGCTCAAATTAACTTGAACATTTTAATACGTCTTAGTTTATCTTTACCAGTACCATATATATCATTCTCTCTGTGGGTAAAATTATAACATTTCCAGAACACCTCGCCTGGCTTTAGTACATATGCATATCAATGGGCATTCAGAGGTGGAAAGAAGTATGTCTTTAGTGCATTTGCATCATTCCTCAGGGATGGAGAGAAGTTCATCTCCATATCGATGGGTAATTATCTGGGCAAGGAGGGCTTATCTGTACCTGAGAGGTGAGGGGGAGGGCTGGTTTTGCTTCTGCTGGAGCAGGAAAGAGAGAAAGTCCCGGACTGAAGTTTGTAAGCAATAAATGGGTTTTAAACTTTATTTCTCCCTTTGACTGATTTTGGTTTTTAGAGGTATTTTGCCCCAGGATTTTCTCTCCCCAGATTTACACCCTCCAATCCACCTATATGGCAATCTATATTCTAGTTTAGATCACCCCCCCTGATTTATACACCAAAACACTTTCCCATCCCTTAGGAATTCTACCTACAAAGCTGTTTCTGCTGTTGTTCGTCTCAATGAAGGACCACTGTCTACCCAGCTTCCCAAGCCAGTATCTGACATCATCAGGTTTCTTCCCTCGGTTTCTTCATATTTAATCGACTACCACATCCAGGTCATTCTACTTAATGAAATAGCTCTCAAATCATTTCAACTGACATCCAGGCCATTATTATGTCACATCTTCTTAGGGGGCCTCCAGTTTTCAAGCCTTGTCTGTTCTGATCCATTCTTCATACAAACCCAGAGTTATTCTTCAAAAATGTAAATTATATCATGCCACTCCTATGCTTGAAATCTTTGTTTCTTGTTGCCTCTAGTTTAAAGCTCTAAAAACTCCCTAGCATTTCCTTCTAAGTCTCAATTCTCCACTCCCCTGTCTTGAAAGCAATCTTCACCCATTCTGAACTTTTAATTCCTAGAGTGCATGTGGGTGCAGCCTGAGTTGTTCCTTCAGTTGGAGTACATATTCTCCCTCCTCTTTTCCTAACAAACTGTGTAGTCAACCTTTAAACTCATCTTTCTGTATCATTTCTAGTATACCACCTGAAGCCCCTCCAGTTTGAACTCCACTGGAGGTGTTCCCAAGACAAGCATCCTGTACTTACCTAACAATTACGGGCATTGTCTTCTAATTGGTTATTTCCTAGTCTACAGGTCCTCTGGACTGTGAAACATTGGAGGGCAGAAATCACGTGCTCTTTCGGTCTCAAGGGCCCGAAAAGAAGCTGATACATGTAACAACCCAATTAATACTTGTTGAATGGGTAACTGTTCACTTCTCTGGACCTGAAAGATGAGGGATTAGAGGGAGAGTGAAAGCTCTGTAGTAACAAGTGGGATGAATACACAGAGTACCTAGGGCTTTCCGTAAGCTCGGAGTCGGGACTAGGCCGGCTGCTTTGCCGGAGGCCACGGCAAGTAACTCCTGAGGGCAACCGCAGGTAGGCGCGAGCCCAGACAAGGAAGGACAGTAGCTTGGGATTCGGCAGCGGCGGGCAGCCTCGCGCTCGGCCGGTGAGGCCGCGATGGGGGTTCCTAGCCGGCCCACGGGAGGGAGGCGCGGCCGTCCGGGGTCCCGCCGCAGCCGCCGCTCCGACCTCCTCATCGCGCAGCTCCTCCGACGCTACCGCCTCACCCCGCCCCGGAAGTGACTTAGGCCTGTCCGGAACCTCCGGGCGCGGCAGCTGCAGCGTCACCAGCCGGGCCGGTGCGGGGCGGGCAGAGCGGCCTCTGCCGCCGCCAACGAGCCGGGGATCGCGTGAGGGGCTAGCAGCACGCCGGCCGGGGCAGGGGACCCAGCGGTCGGACCGAGGGCGACGGGTCGCCGGCGGCCGTGGGGCGACGCCACCGCGGAGGAGGCGGAGCCCGGAGAGGGGTGGGGACCGGGGAGGGCTGGGGTGGGAGCGGGTGGGGGGTGCCCCTGGGCTCATGGAGCCGGCCGAGCGGGCGGGCGGCGGGGAGCCTTTGGAGCCGGGCGGGCGCCCCCGGCCGGACCCGCGGGGCTTCGTCCCGCAGAAGGAGATCGTCTACAACAAGCTGCTGCCCTACGCCGAGCGACTGGACGCCGAGTCGGACTTGCAGCTGGCCCAGATCAAAAGCAACCTGGGCCGCGCCGTGCAGCTCCAAGAGCTGTGGCCCGGGGGCCTCTTCTGGACCAGGAAACTATCCACGTAAGTGTGTCGGGGCCTGCAGGATGGGCTGGGGGCAGAGGCGCAGTGGGAGGGAGTACGGAGTGTGGGTGCTCTTTGTTCGCACCGGACCAGGACCCTCAACTCTGCCCGGATTCGAGCCGGTGGTCCCCAAGCAGTAGTTTCAGGATCGCTACTGGAACCTGGGAAGCGCTCACGTCTCCTGCCTGCCACTTGCCTACGGGATCTTCCCGGCCCTCGCTGGCCTTCTTAAGGGTCCTCCCCAGATGCTGATCCCTGAGGGTCTGGCTGTTGTCTTACCACCTGCGGGACGCTGGGGAGCCGGAAGGCGGCGGGTACCCAAGGGAAAAGAAGAGCGGCCTCCCAAGGGTCCTCCTTGGACCTTGGGGCAGAGAAGATTGGGCGTTGGGGGAGTAACTTTTAGTTTCTAACCGTGCTTCCTCTTGTTCTTTCTTTCCCGGCGGTCCCCGCCTCTTCATATTCCTTAATTCTCATCTAGTAACTTTCTGAATGGGAAGGAGGACGGAGGGAACTTCTGGGTTCTGGTTTTTGGTGCCAGCTCACTCTTTGTAGATTTTATCGAAGAGATTGGTTTAAACAATCCTCATGCGGTTCTTAGGCTGTGTACTAGGCGTTAATGTTGAGAATGTTGAGTCTTAGAACCTCGGGAAAGTGTATGTTGCTCCACTTGTGACGAACCTAAGGAAAAGGAGAGAGCTGTCAAGTTGTCCCGGATTATTAGTATCCGGCCTGTGTTAATTTTTGAGTCCCTCAGATGAGTATAGATTACATAGTTTGTTCAGGAGTTATAGTCTTCTTCTGTTAACATTTGTTTATTTATTTTTCACAAACGAGTTTCAAACCATAGCTCCCCTTAAATTAGGAGGAAAAAAGGAGTAAAAGTACAGTTGGGGGAAAGGTTGAGACTTTACCAGATGGACATCTTTACTGTGTTGAGAACTTTAAAAAAATAATTGTGTGTATCTTATTTGGTTAACTGTACATAAAGTCTGGTAACATTATATGCTCATGCATGTGGGTATGGATGGGTGAACTCACAAGACATAAATCACTTACCCAGTGTTTACCCAAATCTGCTGAGTGAACTGGGTGATGACTCAGGGTTTTGTAATGCAAGTCTTTTCTACATTTCCTCACCGGATGACTATTTTTCTGCCAATTATTAGGGAGTCTCTAAGAAATTTCTCATCCCCAGTGGGCGGCCTTGGTGGTGGGAATAATTACCTTTTTAATTAAAAAGTAGAACTAAAACAATTTGCCCTTTTCAAAGAGTGACCATAAAATGTCAAGGTTAAAGCTTTTCTCTTTATTAGAGTGTAATGAAGTTTGTGGTGTTAGGATCCATAAGAGACTTGGGAAAAAAGAAAAGCAGCACAGAGAAGAAACATCTTTAGTCAAAACAGAAGAATGTTTTGTAAATGATTGAAATTCAGGGGATTTTTCTAGTGAGCTTCCTGCGAATTTGTTACCCAGGCACAGTAAAAAGAAAGTTACTTTGTCAGTTCCAGTGATTCCATTTTAACCACTTGATTACATTTGCCAGAGAATAACCTTGTTGGAGATACAAATGGCTCCTTTTTAGATATACAGTATACTAATACACCAATGTGTGAATGCATATCTGGTTTGGATTATTAATCTAGAATCTACACAGGTTATAGTCCCATGCATTGTTTTCTGACATATTTATTGTTCCTAAGCTTGGCAAATTATTACCAGAGTTTTTATTGTTTTTGGCTTACTAGGTATAAGTAAGCTTTTACCTAGAAAGGGCTAAAAACACGGTGGAGACAGTCCTTGGTGTTTAAGGTAAGATTGCAGTTACATGGCTTAATAACCTATGAACCCGAAACCATTTATATCTTAAATAAGCAGCAAGAAATGGTATCAGATAGAATTTTATTTTGGAGTGTAGTTAAATGCTGCAAACAGATTCTTGGGATTATACTATGAGACATTTTGAACTTGGTGGCACATGTGATCTTGGGAGTATTTTTTCTTCTAAGTCATGTTAAGGTGACCTGTTTATAGTTGTGCTTGTTTCTTAGGCCTTGTGTGTGTTGCACAAGTTTACATCTAAATGATGCCAAAGCATGTGATAATAGCTGTCAATTCCATTCCATGAGTAATGATCATAGTTACTACTTTGTAGAAGAATGGAAAGTAATAATGAAAACAAAATCTATTTCTATCACTAGCTCTGTGACTGTGGTGATTACTTTAATTGTGTGTTTCAGTATTCTTGTGAGAGAAATGAGGGGTTGGACTAAATTCCTGAGAAACATTCCTGCTCTGGTATTTTATAATTTGATTTTTTTATCCCATAGAGCCTCAAATAAGCCAGTGTGTATCTTTCTACAAAGACTGCTTGAGCAGTTTGTAAAGTACTGGAATAAAGAAAACCAGAGTGTAAGGTAAATGCTGTACAGAGGCACTAGGACTGGATCCTGACTAGAAGTGTACACCCCTAATCTGGGTGTCAGGGGTCTGTGTGGAGTAGAGTTCTGGGGAGGTCCTCAGGTTCCCCTTTTTTGACTTTTTGCCTCCTCTTGCACTTACTGTAATTCTGTTTCAGTTCATTTCCAGACTTGTTTCCAGGTGTGTTTGGCCTCTCGGAAGAAGGATTATTTCTGTGTAATTTGAAAATTGGCCCTGTGTAAATATAAACTCTCCTGTACAGACAGTTTATTAGAACTGCCTGTTGAAGAGAGATTGTGGGATGTATTACATCAAGGGACTAGTTTTTAAAAAGCAAGAAAACATTGGAGAAGAGAGGCACAAACTAGTGGTCTTTGGAAAACAGTAGTAAAGACAGCTCACGGACACTAAGAGAAAGGTATTGGTAGATGGCCCATGTAGAGAATGAAGGAAATTGAGGAAAGGTAATCTTGAAACCTGACTTTCCTCCTTTGCCCTCCTGGACCTTTCATGAGAGGCAGTGAGGTCTAGGCGGAAGGCCTGTTTATTTTTGCCTGTCTTGCCACCAACAGTATCATCTTGGTCTTGCTTAACTTCTCTTAGAGTTCTCTTTTGGAAAGTTGGAGTGTAGACTATTGGTAGTTTTTCGAACTTAGAACTTAGCAGTGCATTGTTTTATGAAAGCACAGTATTAAACACAAAATTGGACTCCTCAGGCAAACTAAAACTGTGCTGGTTTTTCTTCTAACACTTCATGGATAGTAGAACCCCTTGAACCTGCTCAGGGCTCAACATACACTGTTGAAAAATCACTGGGCTAGTCCCCAGGGCCTTTTTAGCTCTCTGTTCCCTTAAACTGGTCTGGAGGAAGGACAAAAGGAGGGAGAACAAGTGACTGGGCCACTGTTCCCTACAAGCCTACTCCACCCATGATTGTTTCTTTCTTGTTTCTTTTTTGAAACTGAATTTGATTTTAGTGAAAGTGTGTGGGCATGGTATATTATGAAGGAAATTTAGATGCCTTGTTTGTTACAATGAAATGTTATATTCTGTGCTGTTTTATAATGAAATGACTGTGTATTATATGGAGGACTCATTTCATTTGCTAATGCAACTGTAGCTCTCTTGTTTACTTATTATTAAGAACATTATGTAGCTTCCTGGATAGGGACTGGATTATCCCAGTTGAAACCAAGTAATGTATTTAATTAGATTACTTGGCCAACTGGAAACAAGTTTAGTCAGGATATGAGTTATCAAATACCCTGACCTCCTCTGGTGGAAAGTAACGTGACCACAGGAGCACCCAAATTTGTATCATCTCGGTGTTAGGGAAGAAAGTAGAAAATGCTAACCACTGAATTTCAGTTGTCTGTTCACATAATGTACTTTAGTAGGGGGTCTGATGTTTGATTGAGAAATTGTGAAGTATACAATAATGATTTTTGACAAATTATAATATATCTATATTGTCAAAAATAAAGATTCTTGACAATCACATTCACCAGAGAAAACTAATTAGAGAAAGTAGAAGAAAAGGTTTTTCTGTGTTATTAAATGACCACACTCAAAATGGGAATCATGTTTCTTTGTAGTGAGAAAGTTGATTTTTCATATAAAAAAATGAATGAAGTACCTGGTTTTGGAGATGAATTTTTCTGACAAAGTTGTGTCATAGAACATTAAGCTATCATTCACATTTGATTTTTTTCTTTTAAATTAATGTTATTTTTTAGAGTAGTTACAGGTGCAGAGAGAAATGAGCAGAAAGCACACTTCCCATATACCCCCTCTCCCCACACATACACGCATTTGATTTTTCATACACACACACATTTTAAATACTTGAGGCCTTTCCCATTCTCCAAGGACTCCTGTTAACCATTCTTTTAAAACATCTTGCCAGTTTTTCCCTCAGTAGTTAACTGGCTGTTTTTGCCGGAATCACATTCTTCTGAATATGTTGTTTGAAGAATGTTCTAATATTTTTTGTTTGCTTTAAGCATTTTTTAAGTTATGGAAAATATCAAACATATACAAAGGAAGACAGTAATATAATAAATTCCTTGTATGTATCACCTGTCTTAACATATCATCTTCCCAGGGCCAATCATGTTCCTTCCACCATTGCTTTTGAAGCATTTTACTTCATTTGTGTTAAAAGTATGTATCTAAGGGAAAAGGAATTTTTTTATACCATTTCAATACCATCAAACCAAAAAAAAAAATCCATTATCTCTTTAATCAACCTCATGAAATTCTGCCTCTTTGCCAAATTTGTGATTTTATTTCTAAGCTTCAATTTCATTTGCATTGTTTTGTCTGTTTACTATAAAGAGACC